AAAAGAAAATTGGAATAACAGGCAAGTTTGATCTTAGATTGCAAAATAAAAGGGGGTAAAGACTAATAGAATATGTCAGGATAACTCATTGGTCATAGCAAACATTATTTTTCAATAACTCAAAAGACAAATCTACACATGGACATCACCAGAGGGTCAATAGAGAAATCACATCGATTATTTACTTTGCAACCAAAGGCAGAGAAGCTCTATAAAGTCAGCTAAAACAAGACCGGGAGCTGACTCTGGCTCAGATCATGAGCTTCTTAATGTAAAATTTAGACCTAAATTGAATAAAGGATGGAAAACCATCAGACCATATGGGTATGAACTAAATAACATCCCTTATGAATATGAAGTGGAGGTGATGAATAGATTTAAAGGATTAGATTTGGTAGATAAAGTGCCTGAAGAACCATGGACAGACGTTCGCAGTATTGTACAGGAGGCAAAAACAAAATAAGAGAAAGAAATCAAAATCGCTGTCTAATGAGGCTTTACAAATAGCTGAGGAAAAAGGGAAAGGGAAATGAGAAAAGGAAAGATATACCCAACTGAATGCAGAATTCCAGAGAAAAGAAAGGACAGATAAGGTTTTCTTAAATGAGCAATGCAAAGAAATAGAAGAAAACAACATAATAGGAAAGACATGAGATCTCTTCAAGAAACAGAGATATCAGGTAAACATTTCATGTAAAAATGGACATGATAAAAGAGGAAAATGGTAGGGACTTAACAGAATTTGAAGAAATTTAAAAGAAGTAGCAAGACTATATAAAATAATTGTACAAGAAAGATCTTAACATCACTGATAACCATAATGATATGGTTACTGATCTCGAGCCAGGCATCCTGGGAAAATAAAGTCAGGTGAACCTAAGGAAGTGTTGCTAATAATAAGTCTAGCGAAGGTGATGGAATTCCAGCTGAGATATTTAATATCCTAAAAGATGACACTGTTAACACTTGTTGCAATCAATATGCCAGCAAATTTGGAAAACTCAATAGTGGCCACTGGATTGGAAAAGATCAGTTTATATTCCAGTCCTCAAGAAGGGCAATGTCAAGGAATGTTCAAATTGCCAAACAATTGTGCTCATTTCACATGCCAGCAAGATTATGCTTCAGATGTGCAAACTAGGTTTCAGTAATATATGAACCAAGAATTACCAGAAGAGCAGGCTGGTTTTCAAAAAGGCAGAGGAACTAGAGAACAAATTGCCAACATTCACTGGATTATGGAGAAAGTAAGTGAGTTCCAGGGGGAAAAAATCTACTTCTGCTTCATTGAATACACTAAAACCTTTGACTCTGTGAATCACAACGAAATGTGGCAAGCACTCAAAAAAAAAATGGAAGTACAAGATAAATGTACTTGTCTCTTGAGGAACTCATATGCAGATCAAGAAGCAACAATTAGAACTGAACATGGAACAACTAATTGGTTTAAGATTGGGAAAGGAGCTTGACAAGGCTGCATATTATCACCTTATTTATTTAATGGATATACAGAATACCTCATGTGAAATGCCAGGCTGGATGAATCAAAAGCTGGGATTAAGGTTGTCAGGAGAAATATCAACAAACTCAGGTGTGCAGACAATACCACACTGATGGCAGAAAGTGAAGAATTAAGATGTTGATGAAGGCAGAAGAGGAGAGTGTAAAAACTGACTTAAAGCTGAACGTTAAAAAAAATAAAGACTAAGATCATGACAATGAGTCCTATCACTTCCTGGCAAATAGAGGAGAAGAGATAGAAGCAGTGTCAGATTTTATATTCTTAGGCTTCTCCTTCCCATACCTCTTTCCCTTCCCCTTTTCCTCTCCCTTCCTCAGGTAGTAAGATTGCAATGTATATGGAATATATGCCTTGGAAGTGTTTTGGAAGTGATGGATTATAATAGATAAAAAAGAACATTCAAGTCCAAAAATACTTAAAAATCACCTTTTCAATGGTGGCATAGTGTGATAGAAATAGTACCTGGTGGTAATCAGGAGTCTTTCATTTCAGTTCTATCTGTTCCACTAATTCTCTGGCCCTAGATAAATCACAACTTCTCTGGGCTTCAATTTGCTTAGCTCCTGGAAGGAAAGAGTTAGACTGAATAGTCTTAAAGGTCTTTTCCAGTTCTAAAGTCTTACAATTTTATGACTATGTTTAGATTTGAAAATATATCCAAAGGATCATAGGAAAAAAATTAGGTTTTTTTCCCCAGCAAAAGAAAAGACTTACTAGGTTTTTAGGCTGTTTCTATTTTTATCAGAGTCACTAAATAATGCTTTGTGTTCCACCAGAGTACACTGATTTTCATAATTTCTTAATACTAAAAAGAAAAATTTAAATGTAATGTTAAAATAAGCACATTGAGCCCTATGCCTACACTACAGATATATGTGAGTATTGAGGATGGGGGGTGGGGTGGGGGGGAAAAGTAACAGCATATCCTGCAGTGTTGATTTGCATCTCTATTATATAACACAAAACCCAGTTATGTATTTTTCTTCCTCTACAAGCACTTTAAGCATTTGAATCAAAGGGTTAGGCATCAACCAAATAAATGTTCAACTCTTAGGAAATTGCATTAAGACACATTTTTATACAACTGCCTTTTGGACATAGCTTAATGGGCATCCCATCATCATTTCAAACTGAATATATCAAAAACAAAACTCTTTACCATTGCCCTAAATCCACCCCATTCTCAAACTTCTCTCTTTCTTTTGGAGACAACACAAATCGTCCAGTCAACCATATTACCATTTGCAGTCATCCTTAGCTCCTACATCTATCCCTCTCTCTCCAATCAAAGGACATGAACCTAATTACTTCTCACCTGGGCTGTTACAATAACTTCCTAATTGGCTTCCTGCTTCAAGCCTTTTTCATCTGGCCAACTTATCTTCAGCCCACTCTAATGCATCTTCCACTCACCTGCCAAAATGATATTCCTAAAGCCTAGGTCCGATCATGTTACTCCTCTGTTCAAGAAGTCACTTGTTGTCTCTAAGATAAAATACTAACTCTTCTATTTGGAATTTAAAGCCCCTTCCAGTCTGGATCTAGATATTTTTTCCTAGGTATATTCCACAGTGGTCCCCTTCCCATACTCTCTATTCTAGCCAAATTGTTCTATTTGTTCTTTCTGCGTACCATTCCATTTTCTTTTCTATGCCTTTGCTTTTCCCTATGTCTGGAATGCTCTATTCTCCCCTCTGCTTCTTAAAATCCCTAGATCCCTTTCAAGGTCAGCTTGCATGACACTTCCTACATAGGGTACCTCACTGCTAAATTTTACCTCCTTTCATAGAAACTATTTGGAAATGATTTATATTCCCACATATATTTACATATATGTATGTGTGGAATTAGGGTAAACTTCTTGATGGAGAGGGGAGAAGATGGGGTGTGGCTTTGTGGTTTTTTTTTTTTTTGTTTCCCCTTAGCCTACACAACAAATAGTAGGCACTTAATAGATCTTGAATCGTTGATTGATATATTTTGGTAAGAAACATTTAAGTCGAATAACATAAGGTTGATTTTTTTTTCCTCTTATATCTTGCCTCTCTTCTATTACCTCCTGACAGTTATTAAGTAGCTGCCTTATTTTTCTAGCAGCCAAACTCTTGACAGCGTGTACCCACTGGTTCTTAGTAAAATCTTTTGAGATGAATAAATTAATGAAAAAGTGTGAATTAAGTATTAACTATGTGCTATGATGAGTTCTGGGGACACAAACAGAAAAGTGAGGCTGCCCTTCCCTTCAGGAAGATCACAGTCTAACTGGAGGAGACCATAGATATCAGAGGGATCAACTGCAAGGGCCTGAAGCACCTAAGAGAATAACTGTAGGCCAAATGGCAAGGTTCAGGGATCTTTTGGGTGCATTGTCAGGTCACATGGAAAGCCCTGGATCTCTGAAGTAAGTCTGAGGCTGTAATGGTATAGCTAACATGTAAGAAAGTCACAATTGTTTTAATGCATTTGATTTATGCAAATTTGTATAAATTGTCCTCATTCAGATTATTCCTTTGCATATTAAGATTAAATTTATTATTCACCTCTCCAAAGATTGATATGACCTTATCTTCACTGTGCTAACCTCCAACTCTAACTACCCACACACAAGGTCACACACAGATGTTCCGATACTCACTTTGAAAATACATGTTAGTATGAAAATGGTTCACATACCTCAAGGCTTCAGGATTTTGAGGAGAATACTGGACCACTTCTGAATGACTGGTGTGCCTGAGGTAAATAAAGTACTCGGTGCTTTCTTCCTCACAGACAAAGAAAAAAAAATTAAAAAAGAATCTTCCAGTTTTCAAGTCAGTAAAATTAGCTCAGGTATCTGATTAGTTCTGCAAAAGCAAATTGCTTTGGCCCTGTGATTTTATCTGGTTTAGGGAAAACCTCAGTGCAGAAATTCCCTGGGAAAGCCAAATTAGTTACAGGAATTATCTTCTCTTTTTCTTTTTAAAAATATGCACTGTCCTACATTTCAAAGACAAATCACACCTTCTCTATTGTGCAATAGAAGACTAATCACTTAGTTTTAATTGCTTTCTTTTTCATGTTTTCCATTGTTCACAGTTGTTGTTTTCATTGAGTACAAAGTGAAAAAAAGTGAGATGTGACTTTCCCTATTGCAGCCCTGTTTGTGTTTGTTATCCCAACAATTGTGCCATTAGCCAACTCTAGTAGGAATGATTGCTAATTAGATTTACAAGCTGAAGCTTAAGTGCTAACTTTACTAGAGAAATACTATCTTGATTTAAAATGGTGATGATAACCAGTGATTTAAATGATAATGGTGCTGATTCTTAATACTGTCTCAATGATAGCAGTAAAAAGAATACTGCTAATAATAACAAAAACAAATGTTCTGTGAAGTCAGTGACAAGTGTGGTGTCTTGATTTTTACAAAGAAATGCCTCATTATTGCAATGTTTTTCTTTTCCCTGCCGTCCATGACAGATCCCATTTATCTTTACAGCATTATTCAACCTCATACCAGTGGGACTTCGCGTTGTTGCCATGCAGGGAGTAAAGACAGGGTTGTATATTGCCATGAATGGAGAAGGGTACCTCTACACATCAGTAAGTAGCACACCATGGATACTGAGATCTCATACCTTCTATGTAAAATAACAAATACTGACAAAGCTCTATGGAGTTGGATTCACCATCAATTTCCCTGCAGGGTTTGTCTTCATTGTGATCCTCTAAGCAGCTATTTTATTAACATCAGGTAAAATTATCTTTCTGGTAAGACGGTTAAATTTTGGTTTATTAGTGTTTTTTGAGCCTCTGTATTTGCCATATTAAAAAAGAAATGAGCTAGCTTGCAGCCAAATAGAGCAATTTGAGAGCAGATGATATTATTAATATATTATCTTTTATTTAGAAATGTTCTTGTCATAGGAAATTGCATGTACTGGAATGCAAATGAAACTATGCAGAGAATGCCAGTAAATGCTAACAAAGAAAATGTTTTTCTGTGGCAAATTAGACAGCTTGTTAAATACTTTAATATATTACAACCAAATTCTGATAAGTTAAAGTACATAATACAACAGTAAACAAGACTATTGTATAATGGTGATTTATCTGAATTTGAGTACTTTTATGCCAGTGTAAGCTTTTTTTCCTGGGATTTTCAGTGTTAAAGAATTTATTTTTATTCAGTATATGTTGTATTCATACTTCATTGTGCTATAAAATTTATCTTGTGTGTTTCAAGCCACAAAAACATAACAGAATCTTTTGTGTCTATCATCCCTTGAGAGGAAATCAAACAAATTAAACTCTTGGTGTTCTGAAGGAAAGTACTTTCATTTATTTATTTATTTATTTATTTATTTATTTATTTATTTATTTATTTTGGTATGTGATAGTCTTTCCAGATTTTATATTCTAAAGAAAACTCCAAACCCAAACCTTCTTATTGAATGTGAACAACTGGGGAAAACCTTGAGCTGGGAAAGTCTCTGTGGGGTTCCCTACAGAACAGGAGATGTTTTCTCTGTGAATCTGGAAAATCCTGTCAAAGGAAAATGAACTGCTGTACTATCTCATCATAATGAACATGGTGACATGGGCTATTGGTATTCATCTCCTGTCACCATCTGAGTTCCCTGTAGGGTTTCCTGTACTGGGTCCTATATTATGCAGATTGCTTTCTGTTGTCACAAGAGATAAATGTGCACCTTCTTCAGATGGAGAAGCTGTTGAAGTTAACATTCCCTTTCCCCCAAACCAACTTCAAAAGAGATAGTCCAAATAAAAGATTATATTCCTAGGATACTCCTCTCCCCCCTCCCCTTTTTTTTGGTAAGAAGTAAATCAATCAATTGATTTAAAATTAGGTCTAGCTGTCTCCTTCCACCATAGGCCATTTTAGGAAATTTTTGTGGCAGCTTAAAAATCATTAGAATTCACCTATGTCTGATAATACTTGTGTCTATGAAAACAGGCATCAGTGTGATATGTGAATGGATTTTAAATGTTTCTTTGATAATTTTGATGTTTAAAAAGAAACTCTAATACTTTAATATTTCATTCTGTCTTGTATGAAGTAAAAAAAAAAAGCCTCAGTTATATGTTCCCAGAAAGGGTGTGGTAAACTTTCTTGCCTAGGTGCTTTGAAAAAAACAAAAGCATTGGAATCATATGGTAGAAACTGCAATGCAGCATGAATAGCCATTTCTAAGAGTAGGAAATCAAAATGCATTATAATCAATGGTATGTTATTAGAAAAAAAAATATTAGCCCTTGCTGGTGGCCCTAGTTAACATGATTTATTGGCCTGATTACAATATCATTTACTATTGTGAAGAATTCAAGCAAAGGATATTTTTTCCAGACTTGTTTCATAAAATGATCACCTGCTTAAGTGAGAAGTGATGAACATCTGATAGTGTGGTATGATGTGTGTGTGTAAGAAGTCTATTAGCACAGTTAGTGAAAAAACCTCATTTCAGGTCCAGGTATAAGGGTAGAAAAAAAATAGAAAAATGGGAGTTTTCTGTAGAAAAATGGAAATAGTGGAAATGGTTCATTCTGGGAGAAAAAATTATGATGGCTCAAGTAATAAACATTATTCTATGATTCTTATCTGCATTCCTGAGAATAAATAGATCCATTGCAGTTATAAATTAATTTGAATTTGAATATTCAGTCATTAATAAAAGTTTTGAGTGAGTGTTTATTATTCATTATTAGAACTGCAAAATAAGTTGAATATTCAACTACAGATAATCTTCTGAAAGGTATTTCACTTGAATAAAATATGGAAGGAAAAAAACCTATTTTTCATTTAAAAATCACTACTCAGAGCTTGCTCAAATGAAGTGTAAAGGAGTATGTATTTACTATAAACTGTAATTCATTCTCAAATAATAATTATAACCACAACAGTAATAATAGCTAGCACTTATATAGTACTTTAAAGTTTGCAATGATACATATATTATCTTATTTAATACTCACAACAACCCTGGGAGCCTGGTTATCCTAGCTATCAGTTATTACTGCATCATAGTGACAATTTAGATAAAGATCCAGAAAGTTTAAATTACAAGTTGTATTTTAAAATTATTTTCTTTTTCAAATCAACTAAAATGTTCTTTGCAATGTTAGTTATTATCTTTATTTACAGATGAAGAAAACAAGGCACAGAGACGTTAAGTGACTTGCCCTGGGTCACACACTAGGAGTGTCTCCTTCCCCCTCATTTAGCACTCTCTCTACTGCACTACTTAGCTGCCTGGCAAAGTCAAAATGATATTTGAAAATATAATTCCATGTCTGAAAATTGCCCATTTTATTGAGCTGTGAAAATGGACTTGGAAAACAGAATAATTCAATAATAAACTTGCCATAATTTGATAAATTAGAGTCTGTTAGTTATTAAACATTTTTTAAGTGTTAGGCTCTATGCTAAGGGCTGGGAATACAAAGAAAGGCAAAAGATGGTCTAATTGGTAAAACTGTGGACAGGCAAAAGAAAAAATGACCATAGGCACTCACAGTCAAAGATCCATGACCATTTTATTTCAGGATGTATTTCTTTTCCAGGCATCAAAAAGATAGACAAGTATAACCTAATGACACCCAGGGGTACATGAAAGTGCCCTGATAGGGATGCAGATGATCATGATGGTAGTGTTGGCAATGACTACTCCCTGTGGAAATCTTTTTTCCTTAAAATGACAGCAGTCATTTTTGTCACAGCCATAATGTTTCTAGGGTGGTTGTTAGTGATGTATCTCAAGAGGTTTTAATGTCGGTTATAAACAGTTTGCTTCAGGCCAAAACCTATTCTGTGAGATCTCAGAAGTGAAGCTCAAAAAAAAAGTTTGGATAAAGACACACAAAGTTTAAAATGCAAGTTTTATTTTAAAATATTCTTCTGTTTAAAATCATCTAAAAATCCACAATGCTGTAATGGGCCTTTGTGTATGGTTTTTGTCACATGGTAAGTCAAGTCAACAAGCATTTATTAAGCACCATATGTGTGCTAGGAACTGCTAAGTACTGGGGATACAGAGAAAACCAAAACCAAACCAAACAACATAAAGATATGTGTGTGTATACATACATACATACATACATACATATATGGTCTATTTCTAACACAAATGTTCTCAGAATGAGATCTTGATGCTCAAAAGTGGATCTTAGAGGCAATAATGTTTAGAATTTAGATAAGAATATTCCAGATCTAAATGAAGTTAGTGGAACTGACAGAGAAACAAATGAGATAGATGCAACATGGTATAGTGGAAAGAACACCAGGTTAGGAATTGGGATATCTGGGTTCTAGGCATAGGTCTCACACTAATGAGATATATGATCACAGGCAAGTCTCTTAACCTGTTTGAATCACAGTTTCCTCATTTGTAAAATGAAAGTGCCTGATTGGATGATCACAAAAGCCTCTTCTAAAAGTCATATTTTATCCTTGGCCTCAAAATTAGGAGAAGCAATTTATAAACTTTATAAAGATACCTTTTGTTGCTCTGCCAGATTTTCACACCTCATAAGGATATTATTTAATAAATCGATGTTGCCATTTTTTCATTACCCAACTACAAAACTGTATAAATGTTGAAGGTGTTGGCATTCTCCTCAAACCTGCTTGTCATCTAAATTTTTCCACAGGGTGTAGAACAAGTACAGATGGGAAAAAAATCTTTATGCAATAAAAACTCTATTTTTCTGGGGAAATATCTACCTACTTAGTTTGTGTATTTTTTTTCTCTGCTGTAGAGGTTTAGATGAAGTACCTTGATAGCACATAGGGTTGACATGCTATTTTAGATCTTTGTTTTGTTTGACCGTAATGTGATGGAAGTTGCATTTAGGTGATTGCGCTAGGTACATTCAATCAATCAATCCTTCAAGCAACTGTAACATTCCTGTATAATAATTACCTTATTTTAAACAGTATAATGTCCCCAAAAGTTCATGTAGTTCCTCTTTTTCCAGCTTTAGTAAATTTTCTTTCAATGAAAAGTTATGTGTTCAATCACACATGTTTTGAGCCTCCAGTTAGGATATTTCCTAATATTTAGGCAGAGATTGGACATTGTCTAAATTTACGTTCATATTTCTCTCCAGTTAACCCCCTACTATCTTGAGGGTTGAAGCAGTGGTAACTAGGAATGTTTGGGTCAACACAGTAGATTATATCTGTACTCCTCCTTGAATCAATCAAAATGATAGACGAGTCCTAGGAGAAGAACTTGAGGGAAGAGCAGACTTTTTCCTCACAATTTCCTTGAGTTCTTGAGTAGGTGGTACACTTGTGCTGTTAACTGAGGTCTTCCACTTTGAGATTCTTGTAGAGTGGATGAGCCTCTTCAGTATTTTCCTTCTCTGCTGCAGCTCAGTCATAATATCTCTTTCTCCTTTCATTGGTTGCCCTGGGCCTGCCACTTCTTGGCTCAGGTCTAGCGCTTCATCTCTGCTTTTCAACCCCAAGATTCTCCAACTGCTTCTAAGATAGCTCCTCCTTTAAGGCAAATTCATTATGGGGTAACCAGTTCTTTCATGCAATGACTTTGATTCCAGAAGTACATATTAGATTTGTTCTA